ATCGATGCCATCTGGCTTCCTGAGGGCCATATTCGTAACATGTACCTTGTGTTCCTGTGCAACTAAATACTTATCGGCGTTTCGTATTTCGACGATGCGTGTCTGTGCCCAGCCAGCAGACTGCGCACGGTAAACAATCTGCCTCCCAGGAGATGGATCCATATCTCTTGCGACAGCGTCCTCGGGGTCGATCGGAGTATCCGCATCACGCGCAACGCCCGTGATACCCGAGCCGCTTGGCTCGCCGCCGTCAGGGGCAGCGTCCGTAGGATCAACTTCTTCAGCCATCTCATCATCTTCATCTTCACCAGTTTAGTGTTGGCTTTCTTCTTCTGGCATTGCGCGATTGGGCTGCGCCGCTCGCGATTGGACTGCGCCAGATAGTGAGTAGGTATCAAGATCTGCGAAACGGGTTCTGAACGAGCTATTGCTTCACGAGCGGCGGGGTCGTAATCGTTTTCCGTCAGCTGCTCGAGATATGGCGTAGTGTTGGGGTCAGTACAGTGACCCGACTATCTCCATGAGACCAGACCCGCGGTGTTCCTTTGAAATTCGGGCCTCTCGATGGGCGCCTCATGGGGAAGCCGAGCCCGTGACCAGCATAACTGGGGCACGTGTAGCAAACGCCTCTGCAGAACTTTCGATCCTCGACGATGGCCCATTTAAGATCGCGCTTGACCATCTTTTCCTGCGATTTGGTTTGTCCCGCCTATGAACGAATGGCGTTGCCTGCATCGTCTCGCTTGACCTGGCGAAGAGAATGCAAATGCCGGATTTGATGCTCACTCCAACCCATTCCCAACCAGTGCCCCATCTGGTTTGCGGGCATGCACTGACGAGCAGATCCAGCTTCAGCGTGGCCTCTGATACGCTGTATTTCACCTCCTGGATACCCCCCTCCTCGTTGCTGGTCATCTTGAGGCGGGCTTCTCCGCAAGCGGTCTTTCCTTGGGGGGCACGTGCCCTTGTCGCCTGCCACGGCGGCCCCCTTGCGGCCCCCGCATTAGGGGGATGCGGGCGCTGACCGCCACTCGAACGGGCACCGCTAGAGCGGCCTCGCACACGATCTGGTGAATGACTGGGAGGCCGACCGCGACGTATCACGCGGCCGTCGTCTCCCCTCTCGTCCTCGTCGCCCATTGGGGAGAGACTTGGATCGTCATGATATCTCTCCCCTATCAGGGGCCGGCGGCTTGGCGATCGTCTCGGGCTGCTGGCAGACCGATCTGACGCAACAGAAGTATACTGAAATTCTTCATTTTGCCCAAACTCATATTGAATGCGCTCAGATAGATCACCAGCGTCGCGCGGGTTTCCCCGCAATGGGTCCTCATCGATTAATTCCGCGCTTGTCGGATTTCCAATCACCCGAGGATAAAGCATCGCATGCATTTCCTAATCTGTCGCAGGAATGATAGAATCTGAGCCCGCGGGCGCCCCCGCCATGCCAAAACCACCTTCGACGGGCATGTGGAGGTTCTCGACAAACTCAATATCTGAAGGTTGCCCCACGATGGGCGCACCCAACCAGTCTGCCGAATCGATGTCGTCGCGGCCAGTGAACACCTCCTCGAACAGCTCGTCGGCGAAATTCTCGAGGGGCACGCTGGCACTTCGGTACCTGGCAGCCATGAAATGACCAATTGTGGCTGAGCCGTCGGCAGGGTCGGCTAAAAACGACACCCAACCAACAGACTGCATGTCGGAGTCCGTTCGAGCCAGATGCATTGACGGACCCCAACCTCTTCCATCACCTTGGGGGCACTCGCGTCGGAAATGCTGTGCACTGTGACATATGTCGCACTCTATAGTTCCCCGGGTTGTGGATTCCCTCGTCGCCCCTTACCTTCGCCTGATGTGTGCCTGCGGTTTCTGCCAGCATCTAAAAACATTTCCTCATAATGGGGTCCAGTAAAAGACGCCAGGAATGCAAGTATGCCTCTACCATGTAATCGCCGACGCTTACCTTTGCCTTTACTTAGACACAAGCCTTTTCCTTTAAGCGACCGTCGTACAATACGCCTTACTTTTCGGACTGGTTTATCCATGAACCTCCGCCAACGACGCTTGTGTTCTTGATAGCCCAAAAACAACCATTGAGCTCGCTGCTCTTCAGTCAGGTATGTAGGCGTATCAGAGCAATCCAAGGCGGTAGCTTCATCATCGGAAGACGCATCCGCATCGGTACCGGAGTCGATGTCGGACTCCGCGGGTTGCCCCGCTGAGCCCATTCGGGCCATAGCTTGCATAGGGGAAGCCGCGTCGGGCGGTCCCCCAGATCTGGCCCAGGGGCCTTGCGACCCCGAAGCCGTTCCATCATTCTGAGCCAACAGTGTAGTGGTCTCAGATGGTTGTGTATCGTCGTTCCGGACGTTGTTGGCAGGTTGCCATGCGTTGGCCTCTGCGTGGGAAGTCTCGGTTCGGTGACCGTGGCTAAAGATACCACCAATATTGCCAGGGGTCATCTCAGCTATGTGAGCATATGACCTCATACGTTCAAGTAGAGCGTCAAATTGCGGCTGGTCCCTCGGCACGAGGTAGCACAGAGGCTGCAGGAGTTGTTGTGCACGCGAAGTCCCCGCTCCAAGAGCTCTGAATAGAACTGCTGTTAAGATCTGGAAGGTGGGGATGTTGAAGCCTTCGGTTTCAGCTTCGCAGCGGGCTATTTCGAACCGCGCTAACGTCTGGTCGATACGTTCACCCGCGTGGACTCGAAAGTCACAGACAGCCGTGCCAGAGTTGAGTTGGCGTTCCTCTTCTAGGTTCTCGAACTTCGTACTTAAGAGGAACATACTGTGGGTGACGCCGTAGGTGTGGCGACCGCCTGTACTGACGCCAAAACTAATGACTGCTGGGGGGACTCTCATGGCTATAGTCCGTGCGAGGCCCCCCAAACCTCGCTGTAATGCGGCGGCTTGCTGGGAGGGCGTCATGTTGCCTGTGGTCACATTGATCCAGGCATGTACTTCGCGGACGAACTCGCGAAATGGTACTTGACCGGCAAGGTCCCAATGGGGGCCAGACGTTCTAGTGTCGTCTCCGCCCCGCATATGTCCTACCGCACACCCAATAGCGACCCATACGAGCCCAAAGATAGCAACCCCAATCCAGTGGCCTGGTAAGTCGTAGTCGGTTGTAGTCGGTGGGGACTTATGTTTTGTCGTCGTAAGTCTGCGTGGGCCGGAGGCGACAGTATATCGTATCGTATGTTTCCACACATTATGTAGTCGAAGAGTTTCCATTTACAGTAGGTGGGTGGACTTCGGGAGTGTAAGAGCGCAAGGATGTAAGATGTGAGTAAGAGACCTCCGCTCGGACAAAAGTATCGCTGCAAGCTTCCTTGCGGCACGGCGTAGTTATATACACTCCTCCGCGCAATCCCACTGCACCTTGATGTTCCACCATATCCCCAATCCACCAGATAGCGCCGTGGATGATGAGGAGTAGAGCAAGAGCTGACCACCATAGGCCAGCTCCGCTACCAAGTTTGAAAGGGGGCTGGAAGGCCCAGCCAACAGCTTCGCCTCAGGCGAAGCCAATCTCCCGCTCTGTTGTACCGTGGGAAAGATAGTCCCAGTATGAGAAGAGATGTCATCTCAAGCAAGGCGAAGATCCTTTTGGTCTCGGTAGCGATTGTGTGCCTCGCGGTGAATCAAATTTGGGCGGCCAGCCGCTTGAGCCGACGCGGCCGCGGGCGCACGTGCGTTTCCACCCCTTACGTCCCTCAGCTCGTTTTAGAGTCTGATACCCCCCACCACCCTACGAAGATCGCAAAGATGGGGGCCCCAAAGTCCGTCTCCCAAGAGAGGGTCAAGAGACCCCCACGAGGGTCTCAAGAGGGGCTCAGAAGACCCCAAGAACTCTGCAAAAACGCGAGCGAGGCTTCCAAAACGAACCCGAACAACCCGCAAGATTTCCTCAGAAGCCCTCGAGAGGGTGAACGAGCGCCCCGAGACGGCCCCAGAGGCCCCAAGACTGCCCACGATAGACTTCAAGCGTCCCGAAAAGGGCCCCCCAAAAGCCCAAAGAGCACCCCCAAGGGGGCCCCAAGAGGCAACAATCGTCCTAACTAAGCACCACATACATAATTAGCATGTTCGCCTCTGAGGTCCCCACAGCGTCCAAGTTGGCCCAAGAGGCCCCCGAGATCGCCCCAAGGCAGCCCAAGAGGCCCCCAAAAAACCTCAAGGGGGCCCCAATGTGGTCCAAGAGGAAGTGCCCCCAAGGGCTTCCACAACGGCTGGGGAACACACATAGCCCAATAGCTTGGCCAGACCATGGCCCAACGTTTGGCCACATATGCGTTTCCAAATGAAGGGGGCGGCGGTGATTCGCCATAGGCGTCTTCGATAGTGAGGAGCGGCACAGAAAGATTGTAGGAGGAAACTCTCGAAAACAGCAGCGCAACACGGCTAGTGGCAGCCGCGGCAGCGGTGGAACCCAAAGAAAGCAACGGGCGATCAAACCCATACGCGGCCGCTGAATATCATAACAACCGCTTCAACATGCCAGCAGAGATCCAAGTTCAAGATCACATAGACATGCTGAAGGATCGGATGAGGAGTCCATTTTGGCGACGTCAACTGACTGGCCAGCTCTTGCGCGCGCACCAAAACCAGCTTCATAGACGAACCCCAGATCTTGATGCAGTTGAAGACAGCACCTTTCGGAGGATCCCCCTCCGGAACTCCCATCTCCGCCTCTTCATATCTCTCCTTCTCTCTCTCTCTCTTCCCCCCTCTCTTTCGCTCCCTCTGTGTATTGATAGATCCAAAATTCCGACGTGGTGATGTGTCACAACGTGAATTCCCCCGAGGTTTGGATCCCCTCCACTGGACCGACTTTACATCCTGAGTAGTTGTTCACTGCCCCAGGGCCTGGCCACCCATCTGAGCCCCAGAAATGCAGCGAAGTTGTTGCAGTGTAAGTTCCCAGCGAAGATGGCAGCGTAAGTTGTTGCATCTCTCTCTCTCTCTCGCTCTCTCTCTCTCTCTCTCTTTCTCTCTCTCCCCAAGGGATCGCGAACTCTCGTATGGATGCGAGAAGGACACCGCTGAGCTCAGCTCCCCAGGAGCCCACAAAAGTTCGGACGGCTGCTCAGGTGGCAGCCCCAACGGGAGCGCGAGAGGGAGGCGGGGAGAAGCAGGGAGCAGGCGCACGAGCAGCGAGTGCTCTACTCGAGCCGAGACCCATGCCGAAAGGAGGGTCGAGAATGGTATTGTTACCGACTCATCGCGTTTGTTTTCTTATCAGATGTGCCGGTCAGATGTCATGGCCGGCGAATCGGGCTACACGATGGGCGCGGCGGCAGGGTGGCAGGCTATGTTCACACAGTGTGACCGCGTCAAAAAAAACCTCATCGGCAACACTACTCGAATATTTCAGCTCCTTGCATGGTGCTGCGTCTGTGTGCCATCCATGCCCAACCGACCGCTTCCACCAATTCGACAAAGCCAAAAAGAAAACAGTCCGGTCAGACTCACGACCCAAGACACCGCTCCCAACACTCATCCTAGAAATTAGCAGGAGGATGAGCAAGGCCCTCCGATAACCAGTGCCCGCTCCTTGCGCTGCCAGTCGCCCCACCACCCGCGGCGGGGTATAGCCTTCACGATACGGATGCAGGTGCTTTCTTGAACATGGCCTCGGTCAAGATCTCTGATCTGATCTCTGCGGCATGTACAGCTCGAGCCTCCCCTGCGCAACCTTCTACAGTTAGGTCGGGCATGTCCTCCTACTGGCGGATTTCGAACAACAAACAAAACATAACATACCCCCAAATGCTAGAAAATAGTCAAAAAATCGTCCCACTGCTATTTTTGCGACTATTCCTGATTATTCCTCCTGTAGAGGGACGTGCCCGACTTGATTCTGCCGAGCCAGACCAACGAGGAGCAAAGAGGTGGGACGAGAGGAGGCGAGGGAGGCACTGAAACGAACGAAGAAGAACCCTCACCATGGACGGCTTCCGCTGGGGCCGTAGGCGACACGAGGAGGGGAGGGCGAGGCGGGGGAGGAGAAGGAGGAGGAGGAGGAGGAGAGGAAGGAAGGAAGGAAGGAAGGAAGGAAGGAAGGAAGGAAGGAAGGAAGGAAGGAAGGAAGGAAGGAGGAGGAGGAGGAGGAGGAGGAGGAGGGAGGAGGAGGAGGAGGAGGAGGAGGAGGAGGAGGAGGAGGAGGAGGAGGAGGAGGGGAGGAGGAGGAGGAGGAGGAGGAGGAGGAGGAGGAGGAGGAGGAGGTGAGGAGCCGGGTCGTCTAAGCCCTTCGGAGAAACCCTCCACCCTCACCAGAGCCTCCAACCGCCATGAGACCCCAATCAAATTGTGCAGACGCCCGACACGCAACGGCACGACTCGGCACACGAGGAAGCATCCCCTGAGCTCGTCCCCTGCGGCGTGCGGCAGGGTCAAGCACGAGACCGACGGAAGGAGCGAGAAACCGTCTTGGAGCAAGCCCTGATGGAGCCGTTATGGACTTCATGGGAGCGCCATTCGATGTTAATTTTGGCAACCAAGGCATGACCGCGTCTTTTTTGGGGGAAAAAATAAAACAACAAAATTATCCTGGCGAAGGACCCAACCATATGCAGTTGTGAGTATCGCAATTGTGAATATCTTCTTCGGTGGCGCTCCCTCTGGGGCCACGAACCGCATGAGGGGTGTGCCGAAATGTGGCGGGGTACACAACGCAAAGGAATACGATAGATCTGATTACGAGAGAAAGAACGCGGGTGAGTCAGAGCGCGAGGGAATCTGAGTATGAATGGGTCTGCGCGCGAGTGAATATATTTGCATGAATGCGATCATGGAAACGCCTAGTGTAAGTGTCGAGCATGCCTGTCCGAACACACGTGACACTGGGCGTGGCCGCCGCAGGCAGCCTCCGCGGGAACCCCGACGGCAGCGTCCGCACGTCGCGACGCCCATGTCGGCACGCCTCTTGCGAGGATCGCGCCCGCTTTCGGCTCTTCTTTTCCTTCCTCTTTGCCCGCGCGCTCCAAAATCCAAGGCTGCGGGCGCAGCGCAGCGCGGAGTCCCCGCGACGCGCGCTGGTCGCCCCGGGCGGGGTCCCAGCGACGCGCGCGGGTCGTCCGCTGCGCGAAGCAGAGAGAGCTGACTAGCTAACTGGCTGGCTGATAGCGGGCAAGTCTCTGACCGCTGGGCAGAGCGACGACGGGCGAACGAGGCGCCGGGCCCCCCGCAGCGCGGAGTTCCCGCGACGCGCGCTGGTCGCCCCGAGAGGGTCCCAGCGACGCGCGCGGGTCGTCCGCGGCGCGAGGCCAAACAATTAGTCGGGCAGTCGAGAGAAGGCGCGGCTCGGGGGAGACGCTCCTCAGGTCAGGCCTCGCGGATGAACTCGGTGAAGCCGAGCTCCCTGGCGAGGGCCGTCGCTTCCCTCCTGCGCCGCTTCGTGCGCGCCGCAAACTGCTCCAGCTGCTTCCGCAAGCCCTGCGGCGGCCCTGCCAGGAAGAACTCGATGCGCGGCGCCCGCATGAGCAGGAGGTCCTCGTGGCGCGTGGCGCGCGAGAGCAGCACGTAGAGCTCCAGCCACCAGTCGTCGTCCTCCTTCTTGCCGTTCCCTACCTCGTGGCGGCCGCAATCCAGGATCACGCCTGGGCGACGTCGACCGAGGGAGCAGCGCGCCGGGCAGCCGACGGCCCAGGGCGAGAGTCCACAGGACCGAGAGATGGTCTGGCCGCGGACTGCTCGCGCCCCGGAGGTCTGGCCGCCCCCGGAGCGCCGTTCCCCCGCCCCGTCGCCTTCGCGCATGGTGCGCCCCTGGCACGCCACCGTGGTGATGACCCTGCCGTGCGAGAAATGCGGGGGGGGTGCCGAAATGGGTGGGGGTGACGCATGCGGGCGGCGGCACTGAGGCCTTCGGTGGAGCTCCCTATGGAGCCACGAAACGTGTGAGGGGTGTGCCGAAATGGGTGTGGGTGACGCATGCGGCCGCGGGCACTGGGGCCTTCGGTGGAGCTCCCTATGGAGCCTCGAAACGTGTGAGGGGTGTGCCGAAATGGGTGTGGGTGACGCATGCGGCCGCGGCCACTGGGGCCTTCGGTGGAGCTCCCTATGGAGCCACGAAACGTGTGAGGGGTGTGCCGAAATGGGTGTGGGTGACGCATGCGGCCGCGGGCACTGGGGCCTTCGGTGGAGCTCCCTATGGAGCCACGAAACGTGTGAGGGGTGTGCCGAAATGGGTGTGGGTGACGCATGCGGCCGCGGGCACTGGGGCCTTCGGTGGAGCTCCCTATGGAGCCACGAAACGTGTGAGGGGTGTGCCGAAATGGGTGTGGGTGACGCATGCGGCCGCGGGCACTGGGGCCTTCGGTGGAGCTCCCTATGGAGCCACGAAACGTGTGAGGGGTGTGCCGAAATGGGTGTGGGTGACGCATGCGGCCGCGGGCACTGGGGCCTTCGGTGGAGCTCCCTATGGAGCCACGAAGCGTGTGAGGGGTGTGCCGAAATGGGTGTGGGGCCACGCATGCGGCGCATGCGGCCGCGGGCACTGGGGCCTTCGGTGGAGCTCCCTATGGAGCCACGAAACGTGTGAGGGGTGTGCCGAAATGGGTGTGGGTGACGCATGACTGGGGCCTTCGGTGGAGCTCCCTATGGAGCCACGAAACGTGTGAGGGGTGTGCCGAAATGGATGATGTGATGATGATGATGATGATGATGATGATGATGATGATGATGATGATGATGATGATGATGATGATGATGATGGGAGGGGGGAGGAGGCAGCGGGAGGAAGGAAGGAAGGAAGGAAGGAAGGAAGGAACGCGGGGCACCGTCTCTTCAAAACGAGGACCCAACACCACATGATGGTTGGGAATAAAACAAAACTTTAGGTTTTGGATGCCCCGGGACCGTCAAAAAACAACTCAGGATGAAAACTGGTCCAAGGAAAAGGGTCGGGACGTCCGGAGATCCCGCACTGAAAAGCTTCCTTGCATAGCATTTCCCCCCCTCCCCCTCCGCCGCCTTTTCAAACAACGCTGGGTCGAAAGAGCGTGCATGTGAGTCCCACCTTGCATGTGAACATCAGACCTCCATTCGGTCTCGACTCGGGCGTTGCCAGAACTGGGTTTAGTGGGACCTGGTATAGTGATGTGTACTGGGGGACGCCCCCCCCCGCCCCGTTCCACTAACCAGAACGGCCGTCACCCGAAAAAACACGAGCTACGGCAGACCTGGTTTAGTGATTCTGGCCAATTTAGGAGCTCTGGGGCCCTACCACTAACCGGGTCCCCTTACCTGGGGTCCTGGCTATACCCGATCGTCACCCACCCACCCCTCCATGCAAATAGACTTGCCGGAGTCTGCTGGTCTCCAGAGCGTGCGAGAGGGCTCCAGAGGCTCCCGAGACCCACCCGAGAGGGCCCCTGGGGCCCCTCCGAGGGGCACAGCAGGCTCCCAAGAGGTGCCCAAGAGGGGGAGCTCGAACTGCCTTATATGGAGCCCGCCACCCCAAGAGGGCTCCCGAGACAGCCTCCAGGCCAACAAGAGGCCCCAAAGAGGCCCCAAAGATGCATCCAGGAGGCTTCCGAGAGGCCCCTAGGAGGGCGACCTAGAGGCTCCGAGAGGCATCCAAGAGGTCTCCCAAGATGGCCAAGAGGCCCCTTCTGGGGGGCTCCCAGAGGCCCCAAAGAGGCCTCCAAGAGGCCACAGGCGGCCCCAAGAGGCTACCTCAAGAGGAACCATCTTCTTCGTCGTTATCGTCGTCGTCGACCTCCTCCAGCTCCTCCTCGTCCTCGTCCTCGTCCTCCTCCTCCTCCTCCTCCTCCTCCTCCTCCTCCTCCTCCTCCTCCTCCTCCTCCTCCTCCTCCTCCTCCCCCTCCCCCTCCCCCTCCCCCTCCACCTCCCACTCCCTCCCCCCCCCCCCCCTCCCCTCCCTCCTCCTCCTCCTCCTCCTCCTCCTCCTCCTCCTCCTCCTCCTCCTCCTCCGCCTCCTCCTCCTCCTCTCCTCCTCCTCCTCCTCTCCTCCTCCTCCTCCTCCTCCTCCTCCTCCTCCTCCTCCTCCTCCTCCTCCTCCTCCTCCTCCTCCTCCTCCTCCTCCCTCTCCTCCACCTCCTCTCTCTTCCTCCCACATGTGCTCCGTCCATGGTTTCCACAACAGCTGGGGGGACGCATGAAGTCGAATACCGTGGCCAAAGAATTGCCCCACGGCTGGATCACATTGGTATGTCCAGATGGCAGGGGCTGCGATTATTTCCGTAGCCGTCTTCGATATTTCAAGAGACCCTTAAAGCATTATCTTTACAGCGTGAGCACTACGGCCACCCATTAATTCCAGCACATCCCCTGGTGCCCGCTAACTACTTGACACTCAAGACCATTCAACGCTGTACCAACCGCTCTTTATGTTTTAAACGCGTTCTCGTTCAAAACAAGAGCAAAATCAATACCACGACGCAATTCGCTCATCGTGTATTTCAAGCGCTGCCTTTGTTCAGACGCGGCTCCCGTTCAAAACAGAAACGCGACAAAACAACACAAAAGCTTGAAAAACCCGAGGGAACTCAAAACAACCCAAGACGAAGCGCGTTGAAACACGTAAAATAGATCCAACGATGTCCGAAAGGACCCAAATGAGCTTGTATATGCTTTTTGAAGGAAGACGCGGATCTAGGATAAGCTTATCACAAGGAGCCCAGAACATTAAAGTGGGAGTTTCTGCGAGGAGCCCGAGAAT